CTCGCGGTGGTGAACAAAGGTGAGCTGGGGCGAGGCTTTGGAGGACCTGCCCGGTGGCCCTGGGCTGCGCGGCCTCTGAGCCTTGCCGGTTCTTCCCTGGCGCAGGACCGGAGAGCCCCGCCCTGGAGAAGGTGACTGAGAAGGAGGACAATGCCGGCACCCTGCCGGAGTCGGGACAGCCCCTGCCCTGCTACCTGGCCGACCTGCTGCAGCAGCTGATGCAAGTCAACGCTTGCCGGCCCTCGGAAAAAACTCCCGTCAGGCAAGGTGAGGGGCGGCCGGATGAGGCTGCGCTTTCGAGCCGGCCAACCCGGGGCGCTTCTTCACTCGGGCCTCTCTTTGTTTTCTCCCCAGAGGAGGCTGAGGACCCGGCCTGCATCCCCATCTTCTGGGTCAGCAAGTGGGTGGACTACTCTGACAAATATGGGCTAGGTAGGTAGGTGGTCTCGGGGCAGGGGGCTGGGTTGACCAATGGCCCTTGGGTGGGAATACTCTGGAAACAGCCACCGTCACCCCAGCTCCATTTTCCCTGCAAGGACGGTTGATTGTTCTGTATTTTATATGAATGGGGGGGGGGAAAGTCTTGGCAGACCCTCTTGGTTGGAGGAGGGCCAATTTGCCCTGGACTTGCCCCCCCAAAGGCCCTAAAACATACGAGGGATAACAGATGTGAGATTGATACTGGCTGAACTCAAAATCGAAGTGGTTTGATTTGATCAGATATGAATGTAGAGAGAATTCAGTTGGCGTTTCTCTTGACAATTTGTCAGTCTGTCAACACTTGCGGGTCTCAAACTGCGCCCTAACCCAGGAAATTTTGCACTAATTAGGCTGGTGACGTTTGTCAGAATTCCAGCAATTTCTCTCCCTTTTGCTTCTCTCTTTTTCTGGATTGAGTTAAAGAGATTTAACTGATTATGTACTATGAAATCAGTCTTAACTCTTACTGATATTTTCCCCACGATGAATCTGTCCCCCACCTGCTCCTTCAGGTCTCCCAGCAACGCACCCCATGGCACTGCAGTGGCCTTCCCACTCCTCTCAGCTTCTGGCTGAAAGGGTCACACGGTCACGGGGGCATTGCAACAGCCATAATGTTGGCCACGGGCCGTAAGGCCATTGTTCATCTGAATGAGTGGTCATACGTTGAGCAGGGCTCGCTGTGATATGTTTCTTTTAAAAGACTGGTATACCTGAGGGAATTAGAGAGCGCTCTTTCCCAGTCCAGCTAAACCCCTTGTGCCAGTCAGGGCTTTCCCCATCGTGTGCGGAGAAAGGGTGCGATCCAGCCAGATGCCTCGGTGGTCTTGGCCCGATTCCCAAACGCTCCCTGCATGCAGACAGCATGTGTCTGGCTGGCTGCAGTCTTGCTCTCCGGCTAGGTCAAAGCAATCCTTGTGGGATTGCGGCCTGATCCAAGGTAGCTGAGGACGCCCCTGCCTTCTCTTCCGCAGGCTACCAACTGTGTGACAACAGTGTGGGGGTCCTTTTCAACGACTCTACTCGCCTCATCATGTACAGTGATGGGCACAAACTGCAGTACATTGACCAGAATGGGTCTGAATTGTATTTTGACGTGCAATCTTACCCAGATACTTTCAGTAAGAAGGTGAGAGAGGACCCTTGGGGCACTGCTCTACCCTTGCCTCAGTTTCCCCTTCTGTCTCTGATGGGGAGGGGGAGGGAAGACGGTCTCCTCCGTTGCAATCTTGAGTCTGTGCTTGAAGGGGCATCCCTATTTCCATCTGGACTGGAGGAAAAGCCGGTGGGTCAAAAGGCTTGGTGGACGGATGCTCCCGTCCAAGAGATGGGCAAGGCCGCAGGGCCAGGGATGCAGAGGAGGGGGCGTTCTGGCTTTTTCCTGGAAGGGGGGGGTCTTCTTGTGCTGTGGCTTAGCCCTGCCCTGGTCGGCTAATCCGCTCTGCTCCGTCCTTCTCAGATTAAGCTGCTGGAGTATTTCCAAAACTACATGAGTGAACATTTGCTGAAAGCTGGTGCAAACGTGACCCCCCGGGAAGGGGACGAGTTGGCGCGGCTGCCCTACCTCTTGAACTGGTTCCGCACTCGCAGTGCCATCGTCCTGCACCTGAGCAATGGCACCGTGCAGGTCAACTTCTTCCAGGTGACGAGTGGGCCGTGGAGCCCTCTGTGGTGTAGGGGGGGCAGGTGGGAGCTGCCCACCAGAGGGAATAAACAGTGGTCTTGCAAGGCTTCAGTGATGGAGGAACTGACCCCCCCCCTTCCCATCCATCTGGCCTTCCTGGGAGGAAAGGAGGCAGACAATGTTTCTGAATTAGCCCTGTAGTTCTCGCAGCCCCCAGGCCTGGAGTCCTCCTAGCCGAAACCCTGAATCCCTTCTCAGAATGAGGCCACAGGCTTGCTTTTAGGAGGGTAGGCCCGAGTGCTTTGCCATTGGGGACTGCTGCCTCCTGATGCTAAGCGAGCCCGGCGCTGTCTGTTCTTGGCACACAGGACCACACCAAGCTCATCCTCTGCCCCTTGATGGCCGCCGTCACCTACATCAACGAACGGCGCGAGTTCCACACCTACAAACTGGCCCTGATTGAGGAGTTTGGCTGCTGCAAGGAACTGGCCAGCCGCCTCCGTTATGCCCGCACCATGGTGGAGAAGCTGCTGTCCTCCAAATCGGGAGCCCCCTCCACACAGGCGCCAAGCTAGAGGCGGAGGAGGCTCCGCTTGGCTCAGAACTGTGCAGCCCCCCTGGAGGGCCCTCCCTGGCCAGGCCCCACAAGGCCCCAGGCTGCTTTGGGGGCCCGGGGGCCCCTTGGCAACCAAAGGACTGTAACATAACGGGATGCCTTTTCTTCAGATTCTGATAGGAAAGCCCCCTCCCCTTTTCTGCCCCCCATTCAGACTAAACTGTTTTATACTCACTTTGAATAAAGAGATTTCACCCAGCCAGATTCCTTCTCCAGCCCCTCTCTGGAGGTGGGCTCAGGCCCTGCACCAACGGACGAGGCAGCCCCTTTCCAGTCAGGCGGCTGCAGCCGTGGCTTAGCGGCTGTACGGCTCGTTTCCTTTTGGCTTTGTGCAACGGAGAATCAGGCCTTTGCTTGCTTTTCCTGGGACTGGGGACTCTCCTCCAGCTGAGCTTTTCCTCTCTGAGCCCACCCGTGTCTCCCACAGCCGCCAGCCCTGTGCAGAAGGGAGGGTGGCCATGAAAGCCTGCAAGAAAGGCGGTTTTGGCCAACGCCACGAGAGCCTCCCCAGGCGGGAGAAGTACGTATGGCCCTGGCCGACCTCTGAAGGAGCTTTGGCTGACTTCTCTGCCAAAGCTGGCCTCCACCCCAGCCCATCTTGTCCTCTTGGGAGGGGGTGTGGCATCGGGGGGGGGAGGTCAGCTCACAGCACTGGCGTCGTGAGTTGAGGCAGAAGGGAATGCATAGGAGACGAGGGGGAGCGGCTCTCGTCAACCCCCAGGCCAGGTCTTCTTAGCCAGGCGGTGGACCACAGTTGTTCTGAGGTCCACTCCCAGCCCATCCAGCAACCTGGAGCGCCTGGCCTGGGGATTTCTCGCGATTGCAGCCAAAGACCCCACAAGCAGCGAACGGCAGCCTTCAGCTGAACTTCCTGAGGGAGATCCTGGGTCACTGGAGGCTTGGTGCACCCACAGGTGAGCGACCCCCAAGTGATGGAAAGGGTGGGCTTGACAAGGACCAGCAAACCCAGGATGGAGGAGGCCTCAGGCAGTGGGGACCCTTTGTTGCCTGGATGTACTCCCCACTCCCAAGGCATCGTGCATGTCCAGAGTGGCCCTGCTGGGACAGGGAATGCCTGGCCACTGCAGTCCCTGCCCCACAGCTGTCGTCTGCTAATCCCTGGGCCGTTGCTGGCCCTAAGGAGCCGTGCTGGCACTTCGCCACTGCTTTTAAGGGCCTTAACGGCTGAGCCCCATACCGGTTGAGGAAGCCCTCTCCTCGTCTATTCCTGCCAAAAGTGGCAGAGAGGGGCATGTTTGTGTGGATGCCCCTAAAGAGATGGGAGCGCCGATCTTCTCTGTCCTCACAATTAGAACCCAGAGCCTGGCGGGGATATTTTAAGCTAATTTGTACACGTAAGACAAACCCATTTTAGGCATGCTTCTGTTGCTTCCATGGTTTACTGTGGGAGATTTTTATCACTGTACAGCTAAACACAGTTTGCCAAATAGCCTTGCTGGGCTTCACACAGCAGACCATTTGATGAGTGGCTGAGTCCAGTGAACACAACTGCTGATCTGATGCCCCAACGGGCTGAACCCCCCCCCCCCATGGGCCACCAGCAAGATGAAGAACCTGATCAGGGGCCACACTGGCGGTCTTTGCGCAAGGGCATCAGAGGGTCTCAGTTACACCTGTCCTCTGAGACAAACGCTGCCAGAATGTTCCATGGTTGCTTCAGTTGGGGAGTATAGGTCATCCTCAACTTACAGCCAGCCACTTAGTGACTGGAGCTGCAATGGACCTCCCTAGGAGGGTACTTGCGACCCAGATTCAAAATTTCAACAGTAAGGAGTCCCAGGGTCACGTGACTGCATTCGGTCTGGCAACCAAGCCATATTTACATCATTGGTACCATCCTGTGGTCATGACAGTTTTGCCGGAAAAAAACCCCCCAAACCCTTTTGCTTTACGGCAAAAGTGGCCCCTAGCAAACCCCGGGTTTACTGTATGATTGCTGCCTGAATCAGTCTTGCATTATTTTCTAGGCCTTCAGCAACCATGGCAGCAGCACATGCAGGAGAGCGGATCTTCTCTCTTGGCAGCCATCTGGGCTGCTGTGCTAATCCCATCCGGCACATTAATGGTCAAAATACAGGCTGATCTCTGGGTGGCCCCAGGACTCCCTCCTGGTCCTCTTTCAGTGAGCGTCAGGGCTGCTGTGGAGCCAGCCGTGACAAATTTTGCCAAATGTTTTCCTGAAACCAAGCAATAGTTTGACTCGCATTTCCACAATCCATTAAAATTATCTAATTAAAAAAAATAACAGTGACAATACTGTTCACGTTCAAATTTGATCTAATTCTGTCTAGTACATCAAATTATGGCTAAAGTAAGTCCAGCCTTGGACTTCTGTGTAAGTGCAATCACAATTAAAATGTAGTTACAGCATTTCACATTCTCAAGCCTGATCCCCAAAGTGCCTTCTCCGTGCAATCTTAGTCCAAGCGGGGGCCCAGCCCTGCCGTTGGCTCCCCCCGGAGCCAGGAAATGCTGAGAAAAGGGCTCCTTCCTCATGGTCGTCCAGCCGCGGAGCACAGGGGTTCTGCTTCCTTCCTTTCTGTGGCCTTGCTACTGTGTAGGGTGCTTTGCGCATCCGATTTGCAGCTTTCTGCTACTACCACCCCCCCAGCCTCACTCCAGAAGGCTTCTGAGGCAAGGGGAGATGCTCCCTGCTTCCACGTTCATTGTGTGTCTCAGAATAAAATGCCTGCATTTAGAGGTCAGGAGACCCCCCCCTCTGGAATGTCTGCAGCAGGGCCCAGTTCGTTACTGGTCACGCAAGGCACGCTGCATCAGCAATGCAGCCCACGGTGACACGTGATGCTCGGCCATTTTCTTCAGGTGAGAATTCAAGGGAAGGCAGCAGATTCTTTTGGGAGGGGCACCCCCCCACTCCTCTGCTCTCTTCTGCCTGGGGCCTCCTGGAAGCCCCATACATTAGCTTCTGACCCGCACGAACACTATTCCCCAGGGAGCAGGTGGAGCTCGGATGCCCTGTGCTGGTGCCGAATGGGTCCCTCCAGAGCAGGGCAGGCTGGCATGTGCTGGCAGGGGCCAGCGAGCTCCGTCCCTCTGGAAAGCACCTCACTCCCCCTGGCAGTAGTATCTCCGGAAGAGCCGCTCAGCAGCGCATAGGCGCAGGGCCCGGTAAGTGTGCAGCAGCAGGCAGGGAAAGCGGTCCAGGAAGTACTGGATGAATCCGTGGGGGAGGCTGCCAAGGGCCTCCTGGACATTGCTGGGCAGTTCGTAGTAGTGATGCTTCTGAAGGAGAAAGAGTCCAGGTGCCAGGGCCCCCAAGGGACAGTGCCACACTCAGTGTGGCTGTGATGGTGAGACCAGGGGGACAGGAGGTGCCCGAGCGAATGGGAGCAGCCCACTCACTCAAGTGCCACTCAGCCACGGAGGGCCTTGCATTCCCGGAAGAGCCCAGCCAGGGTTGGCAGAGTACCTTGTTCCTCATGGCTCGCAACAGGTCACGGACTGAGCTGCCCTGGTATCTCCGGAACTTCCTGAGGTCTGGGAGGGGGGTGAGAGGGGCCAAGAGGGTCAGCAAGG